TTTTCTTCAAGAAAACAGGATTCCAATGCCTTTGAATTCTCCTCCGGCTTTCAGATGCTACAATTTTTTCTTGTATATCATGGTCAATGAATAAAGTGTGCTAAAAATAAATTTAAGAATTAAATCTTAATTTTTTGTGAAAATATAAAATATTTAATATTTATAATTTTGCTGCATCTTGTAAAGAATTTCTGTAAAATTTCTTACATTTATGATACATTTTAAATTGAGACGTACAAATAATTTATCTAAAAAAATTAATCACGTTGAATACTTACAAAAACCTTTTTTTTCGAGAAGACAGAGTTGTAATGTTTATTGTAACTTCCACTCCAGCTATCCAATGTTGGAATTTTTCCTTGTCAACGAGTGAAGTGTGCTATAAACAAATTTAATAATTAAATTTTAATTCTTTTGTAAATATAAAATATTTAATAACTAAATAATTCATTTTGCCCCATCATATAAGGATTTTTTGTAAAATCTCTTACATTTATGAAATATTTAAAATTGAGACGTATTAATAATTTTGCTAAAAATAATTAAGCACTTGGAATATTTACAGAAGATTTTTCTTCAAGAAGTCAAAGTTCCATTGTTTGAAATTTCTCCTCCAGCTTTGAAATGTTGTACATTATCTTCCTTGTCTGAAGTTGTTAATAAATAAAGAATGCTGAAAAAGACAAAATTAATTTAAACAATATTAAACAAGTAAGAAATAAATTTTTAAAAAAGTAAGCACGTTGAATATTTACAAAAGTTTTTTTCCAAGAAAGCAGAGTTTTAATATTACCTTAAATTTCTCCTACGCCTTTGAAATGTTGAACACTCTTTCTTGTATTTAGTGGTTAATGAATAAGTGTGCTAAAAACAAATTTAACAATTAGATAATGGATTCATGTCTAAATATACAACATTTAATAATAAATCAATAAATAATTAATTTTACTGCATCTTATAAATAATTTTTGAGAAATAATATACATTTAGTTTGACAAAATAATAAATAGATTAATAATAAATTTTATAATTTTTAAGATAATAGATCAAACATATAATTTATTATTTATACCAATTAAGCAAAATTATTTAGTTGTTAATTTATACATTGTACATAAAAGTTTGTAATAAATAATTATAATTGTTTATGTAATTTTTCAAAATGAGAGAATAGAATAATTTAAGGAAATTTCATTATTAATTTGTTTAAAAGAGAAATTTACATATTATTATTCTAGAACGTAATTATAAAAATTAATAATAATTTATGTGAAATTTATATTCTTAAACGATTAGAAAAATGAAACTTTAAAACAAAGAAATATGTTATTTTTAAAAAATGAAGTTTAAAACACAAAATACTATTACTTTCAAAATTAGTCACAAATTTAATTTTGCTTAATTTCTGATGCAGAAATGTATATTTGTTAGAATTTGATAAGAAACTATTTTATTAGATTAATATAGATACTTACAAAATGAATAAATTAATTCCAACAAAAGTAAACGTATAGTAATTTAGATGACATTTGACAACCAAGACGTGTCCTCTAGATTAAATATTTTCATAAATTGGAGGGTGAAATTTTGCGAAGAATTTTTTATCAAGATAAAACAGATTTGTAATGTTTTTATCTTCTCCTCTAGTTTACAAATGTTGGACTTTATCCCTTGCATATAGTGGTCAACAAGTAAAGTACGCTAAAAACAAATTTTATAATTAAACAGTAATATTTTGTAACATATTTAATTATAAATAAATAATTAGTTATGAAATTGTTCAAATGAACGACAAAATTAATAATTAATTTTGCTGCTTCTTATGAGGAATTTCTGTAAAATCTTTTACATTTATGAAATCTTTTACATTGTGACGTATAAATAAATTCGCTAAAAATAATTAAACACGTTGATTACTTACAAGAGAATTTTTCCAAAAAGACAGAGTTCTAATGTGTAAAGGGTGCTGAAAAAAGAAAATTAATTCAAATAATTGAAAAGATAACAAACAAAATTGTTTAATAAAAGTAAATATTTTAATAAAATAAATAAAGGAAATTTATTTATTGAAATTTTTAAAAGAGAAATTTGCATCTCACAATTCTGCAATGGGATTATGAAATTGAATTCTAAATGTGAAATTTATATTCTTAAACGAATAGAAAAATGAAACTTTGAATCAAAGAAATAATGTTTGTTAAATAATGAAATTTAAAACAAAAAATAATATTACTTTTTAAAACTATTCCCAAATATAATTTTACTTAATGAGTATTTAACCAATTTTTCCAGAATCTGTTGCAGAAATTTACATTTGTTTGAATTTTGAAACTATTTCATTAAATTAATAAATACTTACAAAACCAATAAATTAATTCCATTAAAATCGATCACGTATACATATAGTCATCTTCAAGACATTTGCTAACTAAGACGTGTCCTCTAGATGAAATATTTTCATAAATTGCAGGATGAAATTTTTCGAATAATTATTTTTCAAGAAAACAAAGTTTTAATTTTTTTAACTTCTCCTGTTTTTAAATGCTGAAACTCTCCTTGCATATTGTAGTCAACGAGTTTGCTAAAAACAAATTTAATAATTAATTATGTTTTTTTGTAAGTGTTACATATTTAAAAATGAATAAATAACTATAGTTAAAAAATTGTTGAAATAAACGAAATATCAATAATTAATTTTGCTGCTTTTTATAAAGAATTTTTGTGAAATGAATTTGTGAAATACATATTATATTTATGAAACATTTTAAATCGAGACGTGAAAACAATTTCGTTAAGATTAATTCAACACGTTATATATACTTACAAAGGACTTTTCTCAAAAAGGAAGAGTTCTCACGTTCGTAAAAATCTCCTCTGATTTCGAATTGCTAGACATTCTTCCTTCTACGTAGTACTCAAAGAATAAAATGTGCTAAAAACAAATTTAATAATTGAATTATAATTTTTTGTGTAAATAAAAAATATTTAATAACAAAAAAAAAATAATTAATTTTGCTGCATCTCACTAGGAATTTCTGTAAAATGTCTTACATTTATGAAACATTTTAAATTGAGACGTATAAACATATAAGTATTATCCTTAAAAATAATTAAACACGTAGAGTATTTACAAAGGACGAAGCAATTTCGTTAAAATAAATTAAACACGTTGAATATACTTACAAAGAACTTTTTCCAAAAGGAAGAGTTCTTATGTCCGTAAAAATCTTCTCTGACTTTGAAATGCTGGTTATTCTTCCTTCTACGTAGTACTCGAAGAATAAAATGTGCTAAAAACAAATTTAATAATTGAATTATAATTTTTTGTGTAAATAAAAAATATTTAAGAATAAATAAAAAATTAATTTTGATGCATTTGATGAATTTCTGTAAAATGACTTACATTTATAAGTCATTTTAAATAGAGACGTATAAATAATTTTGCTGCATAAAATTTAACAATTGGTCCTTTACAAAAGATTTTTTTCACGAACAGATTTAAAAATTTTTTAATTTCTCCTCCAGCTCTGAAATGTTGAACAATTCTCCTTGTATGTAGTGGTCAACGAAAAAAGCACCCTTTTGTGCTGAAAAAGAGAAAATTAATTTAAACAATTAAAGAAATAACAATTGAATTAATTAGAAAAATGAAATACGTTGAATATTTACAAAAGATTTGTTTTCAAGAAGGCAGAGTTCAAATAGTATCTGAAAATTTCCTCCGCCTTTGAAATGTTGAACATTCTCTCTTGTTACTATAGTTGTCGACGAATAGAGGGTGATTTTAATTTCACAAATTTCTTATCTTGCTTTGGAGTGTTAAATTCTTCTCTCTAAATATAAAAATCAACGAAGGCTGAAAAAGAAAAATTCGACAATAATAAAATCATACTTTTATGTACATAAAACTTATAATTTTGCTAAAAGTAATTAAATATTTACCTCAATTGTCAATTATTGCATTTCATTACAAAAATTTCTTGAAAATTGTTTGCAAATATAACTTTTCATGATTATGTATAATTTTAGTTAACTTATTTTCAATTTGTTTTGGTTTTTTTGTCCTCATGCGTACATTTTTGAGGTTAGGTATGTTATAATAGAAACATACCATATTTTTTTAACTGTCATTAATATTTTATGCAAAAACTAATTGCATATGTAAATATTATCACAATTATGCAAATATATTGCTATTCAACGTTAAATCGTACTCGATCGCAGTAAAAATAAATTTGACAACATTGTCATTAGATGATTGACGATTTGATCTTTTTATCCATAAATAATAATATTTTTGATCTTTCCTCTGCAAACTTTCACATTTTATTCATTATTTAGATTGAAAGGAACTTAATTACCATTACATATTTATGGTAATATTAGGATTTACACCATATTAAAAGTCGAATAATTTTGTAAACAAAGCGTCACTTTTTCTGCTTCCAACATCGCCATTTTGTAAACTGTAAAGTATAAACTGGGTGGGGGGTTGGGCGTGTGTATGAGGCTTAAAGCTACTAAAGGCTGGTTCATAAAATCACTTTAACGCAGAGGGCGCTTTCACACACCATGGGAATGTGAATCTACCCCTATCTTTGTTGTTCATAGTTCTAGTTCCGGTCATAGCGACTTCCCGCCATTCTTTCTGTTCATTGTTGTGAAAAGTTTTCATGAAAAAGAAATTCGTTGTGCTATCGGGCTAATAAAAAGTGAACAAAATAATAATTCGGATCGTGTAGTTCGTGTGATAATAAGAAAAAAGAAAAGCCGTTTTCGTTAATATTAAAGTGATTGATTTGCATATAGGGAAAATTTTGTTACGCACAAAGAAAATTTGTTGTCGCCGCGTTATAATTAGTGAAATTAGCTTTCGGCAACGGTAATTGTCGGTTGTAAATGTTAACAATAATCAATTTTTCCAACAATAAATTCCAAGTGTGAAAGTGAAAATTGTTTCCTCGTTTCGTGGTATAATAATAATGTCGGACATTTTTTTCACGCGACTTTTCCATTTATTTCTAAAAGTGAATTTTCCAATTATCAAACGCGTCTTGAATTCTGAAATAATCTTTCAAAAATAAGATTCGATTCGTTAATGGGATTAAAATTTGTAATTTTTTTACTTCCGAAAATACGCGCCAAAATACGGAAAGATGGAGGGGAGGTGGTCATGGGAAATGTCGGCCATTTTGTTCACGTCACACTCTGTACAAAGTTCTCTGCGCCGCTGTGTGTGTGGAGAAATTTTCTCCGTATTTTTGAGCTATAATCGTGAAAATCGTAATAATTTCTTTATTTTCGATGTTCCGTTGATAAAATTAGTGGTAAATTTAGTATTCCGGGGGATAAATTAATCAAGTAGAAGAAAATATTTGCGAGTCGTCTTCCCCACGCAGCGTGCGTGATTGTCGATTTTAGTTTCTTCAGTAAAGTAGAATCATCGAAAATATTGCCAGAAATCGGGTTTCATTTGTATAAATATCGATAAATATACAAGATGTGAGTAATATTTTACAATAATAGTCGGAAAAATTTCAATCGATTTTTGCTCGTGGCACCCTAACCTCAAAGTCGTACATTGTTGCGAATTGCGATTGTTGCGAAAATTATCGATAAATTCAGTGTTTGTGTTGCAAAAGTCGCGAGTGTTCTCATAATCAAATAAATATTTGTGAGTGAAATTATTATTTGAAGAAATAAGTGAATGGGAATATACTTAGTGCAAGAATTTATCTTCAGCGCCTGGGAATTGGATTACTACTAAATCAATTATCGGATAAACATCAAGGAGAAAATAACCTGATTAAATAATTGGTGAGTCCTGTTGGTCCTGTTATTCTCTCGAGTACTATATATATGTAAACAAGGTAACATTTCATTAATTCTACAACTATTTATTGATAAATTTTAACATTTTTCTTTTTAAATATGTCTGGTGACATTTGTCTCTTTTTTTCGATTTAATAATTAAAACAACAAATTCGAAAATTCTTTCTCAGGCGCAAATTTTTTTTAATGCAGCCAAAATTTAAAAAACTTTTCCATTTTATTTTCTCTTGTTTAAATTGTTCAGTTGGTCAGCTGTTTCGATTTTGTTCGGTAAATCGTCGACAGATGTTGCCACTAGTATTAGTATACTTGTCCATCCATTGTTATGCTTGCAAATTGTCAGTTTATCGATGATGCGAGCACAATATTCAAAGGATTCAAAGTGATTTATTCTGTAAATAAATATATTAGCAATGATAATAGTATTCTTCAAAGATCGTGAGATTCCTTATTACAGTGATTTGAATATAATAGAAAATATATTCTTCCTATATATTTCACAAGATTAAAAAGATAATATTTATCTCGAGTGATGGCATTTCTAACCTCACATTTTTTACAATAACAAAAATATCAAGATCATCACAGGATTAAATATTCCAAGCCTGCGCATTTCATTTTCATCCATTTGCCGCATTATATTGAAAAAATTGAATTTCTGATTAGAACGATTAATACGCTATTAATAATTCTCTGGATTTAATAAATAAATTGAAGATTGAAATTTGTAAGTAGAATTTTAATATTTTGTAAGCAATATTAAGCAAATTGTCAATCAAAAAATATTCAAAAAAGAGAAAATATTTGAAATTTATTTTACTTTTGTTATATTTAATAAATTTAATAAATAATTAATATAATATAATAAAAGTATTATAAATAAAAAGTAGTATAAATAATTAATATAATATAATAATTTATTTAATAATAAATTTGCATTTATTGGATTCAATTAATTAATTTAATATACTTGATAAATTTAATTTGACAAAAACATATATTTTCTTTAGAGCTGAGTGATTTGGAGAAAATTAAATTTTATTGAAATTAAATAATAAAATGTCATTCTTAATATGTTTATTATATATTGACGTGATATAATCTTGTGTTCAACTGTGTAATTAAAGCTAAATAACTGGAGATTAATAACTAGTTATTAGTACCGGTTACTAATAATGACCTCGCGATCAAGATTGAATTTCATCAACTTTGTGTAGACAAAAAATTATGATAATTATTGCTCTAGATTTCAATTATTATACACTTGGAAAAATGAAAGTTAAGTGTATCATAATAATTAAAATTTTAACCTTGACTTCATTAACATATGAAAATCGCCATTAGAAGTTTTTCTATTTAACGTTTCTATTGTATTTATTAATATTTAATTTATTGTAAAAATTTTATTTGTCTTTTTTTAACTTTATCGGTTTAAACATAAATAATAATTAGTCTTGAGAGAAATAAAACAAAAATAGGAAATTATTAAAAATTTACCATGAGTGGGGGGAAGGAGAAGAAAAATAATAAAAATTTTCTGTTGATTCACTCGGTTTATTCACGCAAACAAATATAGATTTAAATATCTGTCATTAATCTATACACATATGCATATATACATATGTATTCATATACACGCAATGGATATGCATGTAATATGCATTATTATACATTACATTTTGTGTGTAATATAATTTTATACTTCTTTTTATCAAAGTTAGAATACATTTCTTTTTTCTTTGTTCGTTTCATTAATTTTCGATACCCAGTACCGTGTTGTTTTTCACGACAATCATATTTTTTTTGCGTTTTCTTGTTTTTTTTTTAATTATTTAATATTGTATTAGGTACATATAAATAAAACGTATGAAAATGACATTTTGTTATAAATAAATAGAAGCCACGTGCAGGACGCTATGCGCGTCATTTTTTTTTTTAGTTTTTATGTTTTTTTTTCTTTAATGTAACTTAATAATCATCTCGATTGCCTAAATCCATCCATGCACACTTAGATACACATATATTGTATATATACAGAATCTCACAGTAACGGTACTCACAAAGTAGCGAAACCTTTTGTTTAATTTAATAATAATAATAATAATTATAATAATAATAATCATAATGATAATAATATTAATAATTAATTAATAATTAATTAATAATTAATAATAATTACAATAATAAATTTATTTAAATTTATTTAAATTTTCTTTTCAAATTCTCTATGTATGTAGTCTATACTTTTCCCCTTTGGAGCACCATCGTTTTGAGATATCGCTCATTGTAATTAAAACATTCATGCTTGCACAGTACCCACTGTTACGAATTAATTAAATATAAATAATACAGACTGGTCCTCGTATAGAATAATTTAATTCCATTCTATTGTTATTACATCGAAATTGCGTGGAAAAAATTCCTTTTCTTTATTACAATAATTTCCGTAAAATACTTTACGATTGCACTGGTATTTTTTGTTTTGTTTTGACAATTACTAATATTGATCACTTGCCCTTTCGATTGTATTTAAAAATAAATATTCAATAAATTAATAACCCAACAAAAAAAAAAAAAATTAAAAAAAATGAAGTACAATATTTTGAGATTTTTTTACTCTTAAAAAATTCAGTACAGGCGCAGAAATTTAATTAATAAACTAACGACGAATTTCTTCTCTTTCTCTCAGCTGTTTTCTTTAACAAAACACGCAGTAATAAAATGACGTGAAATAAAATGCATTAATGGTTTAAAAAATAGGTACGCTAAATAAATATTACAAAAAGAATTGAGCTGTAAAAAAAATTCGATATTTTGTGAATAAAAAAAATGCATTCTGACAATAGTCGACATTTTCGAATCTTAATAAAATTTTACTCTTTTTTTATTCAAATTAAATTAGAGATTATTTAATTAAATGAATTAAATAAATTAAATAATTCATAATATATTCTGAATTATTTAACTATTTTTTTTAGTTGATTTAAATTTATTTAAATTTAATTTAATTTGAATTAAAGTATAAATTAATTTTAATTGAATTTAATTTTAATTGTTAAATTTAATTTACTTAATTTCTTTGTCAGACAATTTTCATCTAGATTTGAAGAAGTCGACTTGAAAATAAAAAATTTAAAGTACTTTAATCTGTTGCCACGTTTTCATAAATAAAATGCAGTTTTTAAAAGAAAGGCTACAAACAGTAGAAAAAAAAATGTGCATTATAAATAAATTGAATACTGATTCTGGAATGGTTCGGATTTTCTATATTAAATATAATCAAATGTAAAAGTTCTTTGATAAAACAGCTGCCCCAATTCACGCGCACTACATAACAATATTTTTTCTCCTTTCATTTATAAATTTATAATTAAAAGAAAACGTCAATTCTGAGAAACAAAAGGAAATTTCTTTGATTTAACATAAAAAATTTCCTTTTTGTTCTAAAAATTTCCGGAAGATGACTATATTAGCAAACAATTTTTGGAGCCTTTCTGTGCGAATAAATTTTTAACATAAAACAGTAAAAATTAATTAAAAAAAAAAAAACTGTGTTTGTGTGTTTGTGATATATAAGGTATAATATATACGATAATTCGAGACCATTTTTTTGTCTTTCCATTCGACCTGCGATGTGATTGACAAATAAATCGGAATTTCGTATATATATATTAGTCAGTTTTCTTTTGATTTTTCATATACATTTATATATTTATATATATTTAATATAATATATAATAGTTTTTAATGCAGCGCCGACATAAATACTTTAAAATCTTATCGTCAATATAATTTCACGTAGGTACGTGCAAAGAAAGCTTAGTTACAAAACGAACGACGTGTGTTTTTCCTAGGACCTTTCACTTTTATGCGAAATATCCATAAAGATAAAAATAGATTGAAATCGCACACACAAATCGCCTGGGAAATCTACTTGGTTACTTAATTGTAAAATTATTATAAGAAATTATTTCCGATGCGGATAAAATTGCGCTGCTATAAGATGAAGAAAAAAAAGAATTTATTTCTCTCAAATAATCACTTACATGACTGTATGTTATTAAAAAAATTTTAAAAATACTTAAGTAATATTTGAATGAATATTTTATTTCTTTTCGTGTTTAATTAAATAAATTTTAAGTTTAACTTTATTTAAATAATTAAAAATGAAAAATATTTACTGAACAAAAATTAACAAAACAAAATACAAAGATTTTGTAATTCTATTTGTGTTCAATTTTTTGAATTTTAATTTTGTTCAATTATTTATTAAATCAAAATATTTTAAGAAAATATAAATATTTTGTTTTTCTATTTGTATTTAATCAGTATTTTTTATTTTTATTCGATAACTTTTTTTATTTAATTAATATTTTTCTTTTCATTTAATAAGTATTTATGTATTTTTATTATAAAATATTTTTTTAATTTTATTCATTTTGATAATAAATTTGTTAATAAAAATTATTTAATACAAGTAAATATTTATTTGTTAATAGACAAATAATTATTTATTTGAATCAATTTTTTTTTCATCGTATTTAATAAATAAACTATTTTTGAATCGAATAATTTTTATTCAAGTGAAATAGTTTTAATTTAAATACAATTTGATTTAAATTGAAATTGTTTGATCAAAAATATCAACTTTTGTGATTATTTTAATTGATTAAAAATTTTGCATTGAGAAATACTTCCTTTTTAACGTTCTACAAACTTATATGTATTCACACTTTACGTATAAAATTGAAAACAAGATTTTGAAAAATTTTATATTTATAAAAACTGAATAGATCGGTTTACGTGTGTGGTTTCAGTTTCCATTTTATGTTTCTGCAAAGAAAAAATACAAAAAAATCAATTTTGATTGTGAAAATAATGTTGTTTTCTTAAAATTATAAAGCTATTTTTTATTTATTTAAAATAAATAAAAGTTTTATTTATTAAAAATAAATAGGATTTTTATTTATATTTTGAAAATAAATATACAATTTTAAATTATTAAAAATAAAAGTTAACTTTTCTACCAACACGTCGTATGATTTGTAAGTTCGCTTTATATAATACTATTAGATTCGCTTAACTTAAGGACGTGAAAAAATAAATAAATACTATACGTAAATATCGGACGTTGGCCTCAAAAATAAAGGCACTACGATGATAGTATTGTAGTACAATAACAACAGTGATATGGCTATTGTGATAATAAAATAATGTTATTGTTCTTAAAAAAAAAAATGTTTACGGTAATGATGAAACAGGAAAATCCTGATAGACGCATGCAAAATTCCCTTCTCTCTCTCTCTCTCTCTCTCTCTCTCTCTCTCTCTCTCTCTTTTTTTCGTATTATTCACATAATAATTATTATTGTGTAATTTTCGTACTATTCACATATAATTATTATTATTGTGTAAAGAAAAAACATTGAAAATTAATAATTTAAATAATACTTTCCCATAATATTATATGGGAATGTAAAACAAAAAAAAAAAATTAAAATGGATCGAGTGATTGAAGGTGTTTGACTGAAGGACGTCATCAGCGTTTGTTACATACATATATATAGTTGTATCATTCACTTTCGATCGTTATCCCCGCGTGACCATTCATTTTCCTCTCAACGCCCTAAATCACTTTCTCCTTCGTTTCATTGCCCCGGCTTTTAATAGTCATTTCGTTTACACTTTACCTCAAAATATGTCTTATCATTTTTGTCCCATTCCTTGTTTTGAGGAAATCCTCGACATCTACCAGGATTCACGTCAAATTTTGCATTAAAAAAAAAGAAAAAAAAATTGGTGAAAATTCTGGAAAATATTCTCGAGAGTTCGTTTAATTTTATTAGCAAGTGAATTTTTTTGTGATAAATTCATTTTATTCTGGATATATTTTCAAAATCATTTTTTTCTGGAATAAATAAACTTTTTTTTTGGCATTATCGTTTGTTCAATAAATTTATATCCGGGGCTCAAAATTCACACACCCAGAGAAAAGTTCTAGTTTTAAATTAAAGACTTAACGTTAATATAATAAATAATTTAGTTCCTTTTAAATATATTTTTTTCAAAGCTTTTGAATTTTTTTGCGAATTTATATATTTTTTTATGTGCGAATTTTATACAAATTTCGTTTTAATGAATAATAAAATAAGTTAGATTTATTTAAATTTAAGCAAATTTGAACTAAATTTCATTGTTTTTCCCCTTATTTTGAATTTATATTTTTTGAAATTTTTTTTATATTTTTTAAAAAAAATTTTTGTAGAAATTTTTTTTTTTAAATAAGAAGAGAGTGATTTTGAAAAAAATAATTTATTTGCATTCAGTTTTTGCTTTGAAACACAATTCTTAATAAATAAAAGTTAACATGTATATGCGTGACAAAAATAAATAGACTAATAACAAGTTTTAATTTATAGAATAATTTTTTTGTTTGTTTTTGATACCTAAAATAAAATAATTTTCATTGATTCAACAAAACTATTGCATTTTAAGGTTAGACAAACTTTTTTCTGGATGTTCAAAATTTACATTATATAAATTTTTTAGTATTTTCTTTCAATTTCAATTTTTCCGTATAAGTGTTTTTTTGTCATCTATAAATTATACAAAAAATTTTTTAATTTTCTTAAATTTTTCCCAATCAGTAAATTATCAATTCTATATCAAATAATCGAGAATATTTTTCTAAAGGTGTTAATTAATGTTCTAAATGTTTAGATGTGAACGAAATTTTTTTCAATTTTTTAATTATCGAATTAAGATTTTGCTATTATTTGTCAACTTTTTTTAGTATATTAAATTGTCTAAATTTAAATTAGTAAAAAGTGGATTAAGAATTTAAATCAGTAAAAATTTCTACTAATTCTTAGTAAAATTTTGCTGTTTTATTTAGTTTCAAAAATTTTACTGAAGTTTTCGTGAAAAGTTACTAAAAATTAGTATAAAATTTTGCTAATTTAAATTAGTAGACTTTTCACTAATTCAGATATAGAGCTTATTTTTTGTATTGAATTGTATTTTTATGTAATTTTTATTTTTATTTCTTTAAATTTTAATTAGTAGTTTTCTACTAATTAAAGAGTGCGGATTCGTTTATCAATTAAATTACAAAAATTTTAAAAAAATTTAATAGAAAACTGCTAATTTGTTAGAAAAGAGAGTTACCAGTTTGTTGGTAAAATATATGTTAATTGAAAGAGTGGAATTCTACTTTTCCAATTAATAAATATTTTGCTTTACAATTAGTAGTTTTCTATTAAATAGTAGTAGATTTCTATTAAAAATCAGTAGTTTGCTACTAAAAATTAGCAGTTTTCTACTAAAAATTAGTAGCTTTCAGTTAAAAATTTGTAGTTTTCTTTAGTAAACTTTAGTAAACTTTTCTGTTAAAAATTGGTAGTTTGCTTAAAAAAAATTAGTAGCTTTATATTAAAAATTAGTAGCTTTCTTCTAAAAATTAGTAAATTTCTTTTAAAAATTAATAAACGACTCCACACTCTTTAATTAGTGAAAAGAGTAGTAGCAGCATTAGTAGAAAACTAATTAATTAGATTAATTAATAACTAATTAATTAGATTTAGAGTAAATTGATGAAAAAAATTTCGTTCTTTTTAATTTTTAGAAGATGAATTTCCTTTTAAGAGCAATATATTTAAATAAATGAATGAAATGACGTCCAACATGGCGAGCAATTCATGACAATGACAAACATTCTTATAGATATTGTACACATTTTTTCTATAATTAAAGAATGTTTGTCAGTGATTAAATTCCTTGACTCGCACCTCTGGGCTCAGCCTTACCTCAGGTACCCCAAAGAAAACCGGAGCATGCGGCAGTCGCGTGTCTCGTTAACCGGTGCAAAACATAATACATAATTCTATTTTTATAATATAATAATAATAATATAATAATATAATAATAATATAATAATAATAATTATAAACGTAATAAAAAATAATAATGCGCTTCGCAGTTGCGCACAGATGTGCGCAATAAAACGCACGGCTTTTCAGCGCGTGGATATTTTTTTCTCGACTAGAATTTGTGTGGGATGTATGGCTTTCGTACCGTTCCGTTTTCATGCGGGACGAGGACGACGATAACGACGATGACGACGACGACGACTACTACGACACTTGAATGATAATATTTGATGGGACGTCATGAGTTTGAGGAGACTTGTTGATGGTTGCGATCTCGCGGGTAATATTTTGCCGCCTCTTTATTTCAATCTTTTTTTTTCTCTCCTCACTATGTTTTTTTTTATTCTTCTCCTCCTCCTTTTTCTTCTTCTTCTCTTCCTCTGTTGAATCTGCGCATTCACTCTGTTCACCCACCCACCTGGTCCTGCGCCGTGCATCGTCGTATCTTCGCATAAGTATCTCCCTTTATTTCTTGCGGCCAAGGTACTCGGCTATCTCCTGGAACTTTTCTTTCTCGTCCTCAAGCAGCAGCGCTTGGATGCAGCTCGTAAAGTATTCGGTGCTGAAGCAATTTTGCCTGTTTGCAGAACAAATAATTTTCTTATGTTAATCAACTGGAATTGGGAGAAATGGTTTCTTTCTTATACTAAAATCTGTTAATTTGTGATTTAATTCATGATTTAATTCATGATTTTGTTAGTATAAGAGAGGTTAAAAGATTTTTGCTGGATCCCAATGATTCTATACTAGGATTTCTCCCGCCAGAACCTGTAAAAAATCTCATCTCTCGGTATTGTTCCCTTGGGTCTTGTGTGAATTGCAAAATTCCAAAATTAGACTTTTCAAAAAGCAAAAAACTTCCCTTAATTAAAAATCAAACTTTGGTTCTAAAATATCAACAAGTAGGAGACTTGAATTTTGGTGTTTATTGCACGGGAGAGATGGGAGAAAAATTCCACTTAAGTACATTGTTAATTATTATGCAGTTTATGTTGATACAATACTTTATCATTAGAGTTATGTAATTAACAATGTACTTTTAGTAGTGATATCAAAGGATATATTTAGATAGAAAAGGATTTCGTGAGGAATTACCTAAGCCTTCTTTTTAGACTTGTTGCATCTGGGTGAAATCGTTTACAAAGGTACCGTCCAACAGGTGTACAAGGCGTTACGTGTTGTTAGGAATTTTTGCTGCCAAATGAGAAAGAAGAAAGGAAAGCGAGTGCATAAGGTAAAGAGGTGTGTGTTTATATATACGAGGAAAATTACATATATTTGGTGCTTGAAGGAAGAAGATATTTTAGAAAAAAGAATAGAATGTGCACTAAAAATGTACAAGAAGAAGAAATAAAACGAAAATAGAAGATTTGTTTCAATATTGAAATTATTGTTGCAAGTAGAAAAGTTAGTGAAGCAATAAATAAATGAGAAAAAACTAAGTGAAATCATAAACAAAAAAATAAAAAGCTACCTAAACCCCGGGATCAGCTCCATGGAGTTGTTTGATGGATGTTTGTATCTGTTCCATTTCGTCCTCCAGTTGCAATACTTCCACGCAGCCCTTGAAGTAGTCTGACGTGAAGCAGTTCTTTCTGTAAATGTTCATTAGCCACATAATAATCATTGCCCATTTTTATTTATTTTTATTTTGATCTATTTTTATTTATTTTAATCTATTTTGATCTATTTTCAACTAGTTTCATCTATACATTGACAATCGTCAAGAAATCGTTTAGGAAATGCAGAAGTATTTTCATATATTCAGAAACAAGTTTTTGATTTCTTATTTTCTGGGGTTTTCCTCATTGCGAAATAAATAGTATTAATAGGAATGTTTTTTCTAAAAAAAAAAATTTATAATAAAAATGAAATTATCGGAAAGTTTTAATTCTCTCTTGTTGCTGGACACAAGTGCCAGGTAATAACGGATGTACATATGTTGGCATTTGCTCGCGTGAGCTATAAATAGAAGAGAAATCTTTCGATACGCGTGCCAACGTATTACAGAGCACTCATGAAGCGCTACGTATTCTTTTTTTTACAACTGCAATGATGTTTGCAAATAGCAAAAAACTCTATTTTTTGCTATTTGGTTTTTTTTGCTAAATGACGTTATTCATTTATAAATTCTATTCTGAATGGAATATCGATTTTAATTCTTCAAAGTCAAACAGTTTTAATTCTTCAAAGTTAACCGATTTCAATTCTTCAAAGTTAAACAATTTCAATTCTTGAGTATCAAATTATTTGAACTTTTTAAAATTAAACAATCCTAACTCTTCAAAATCGAACAATTTAGATTCTTCAAAATCGAATAATTTAGACTTCGAAATATAATTCAAGAATTGGTATATTTCATTGAAGAAAGAACACAGTTTTTCTAAGGATGACAAATTCAGACAAAAAACGTATCAAAATTGTTGTGATGCATACGTTTTTGATACATTGTTGTCTGATTTTGATATAGTTAGAAAATCTGAGAAGAAGATGGTGATTTGGTATTTTTTTGGTGTATTCTAATCGAGATTTAATGGTAGATACTCACTTGCAAAGTAAATGCAACTGGGGCTCCCGAAACAGGTTGTAACAGTCTTCACAGATACGGTCCAATCGTGCGAATAGACTTTTGTCGTAGACACCTTTGCACTGAATGTCCATGAAGGACCTCTTGCTGAATGGATGACCCATGAGTACTCCGGCATCCGCAATTCCAAGACATGATGATACGAGAAGAAGCGTCATTGACCAGGCAAGAACTGAGAGTAAAGCTGGACATGACGAGGTTGATGATGTTGAACACGTTGAGAATGCAGGGGACGTCAATTGTGATGATGATGAGGTTGGTGATGACGATGACGTCGCGAACGTTGATGACAGACGTTCAGCGGCAGAGTTTGATAACAATGACTGAGAGGCTGACCTTCTTTGTTGACGATGCATCATCTGCAATCAGAGGAATTCAAAATGAAGTTCATTCGTTTAGAATTTTCATTTATTAAGAAGAAGCTAAAGATAAGTTTTATTCAATTAGGATAGTTTTCTAAACTTATTAGATTCTTAGGTACTAACAAAAATATTGTCGCGTTCATTTGAAAAGTTAGAAACTTTAGGAACATCTAAACAAAATTATTAGATACATTTATTTTGGTACAAATATTATGATAAAGTGGATATTCGCGCATGAAGTAATGTGATAAATTACTGAGGTCCTTATAGCTATAAATATAAAGTATAACATCCTTAACCAGTTCTGCGAGGAACGGTTTGCTGTGAATGGACCACCCGCAGGACGAGTCCACCTGTAATCGTTCTTAACCGACAACTTCATTAACCGGACTCCTGCACCGTGTTCTTCCCCTTGCCTCTCATTTGTGTACCCTTCGTCCATTTCCTCTCAAATCCCTCCCCCTCTCAACCCTTTTTTTTCTTATAGAAACTCCAATCTCGACTTTCTGTCTCCCTTTATCCTTGCCGAGCACACGTTTCGCCCCCCGATTCTCTTTTTTTTCGGGGCATAATCGTTGCTCCCGGGTGGGATTTTATTTTTAGCCAGAGGACCGATTCTCAGAATTTTTGCATCTCTCCCATCTCTCTCACTCACTCACTCTCTCTCTCTGGGTAACCAGTGGTCCGGATCTGGAATTTATTTTTCGGAAAAAAAATCTACAACCTTTAATTTTCAACCAATTTTCAAGATATTTTTAAAATGATGGTGAAAATCAATTAGTTTTGGTATATATTTAAGAAAATTGATTTTTAATTTTTGTTGTATTTTTTCTGTTCTGGGTGTAGAATTTTTTTTGGGTGAAGTTGGTGTGGACGCTCGAGTGTTGAAAGGTATGCTTTTCGGAGTTTTTGAGGTTGTCACTTTATTTTATTTAGCTAGAGGTTTTTTTTCGGGACGATTCTCAATTTAGAATTTTCGACTCTTCGCTAAATTCAGATTTTAGAAACAATTTCCTTCGATCTAGACACATGTGCATATATACGTATTACTAAATTTATAGTGCCCTCTACGAAAGTATATAAATTACAGGAATTAGTATAAAGAAGCTTCCGAGGGAAATTTCTATTAAAATGATTAAAAGTAAATTGTTTTCAGAACCTGATATATTACGCTAACCATTAGGTTTAATTTAAGAATAGATTGATGAAATCATGCGTTTGAAACTTGGGTTCAATTGCTCCATTTAACCTAACTGACAGATCTATTTGTATGCCTTTGCACTGGTAATTTAGAATTGAAATTTGTCGTAGAACATTTCGTCATAATTTCGTTGAAGTAGCAAATCTAATGTAAGCGTCCTTAAATGATTAAACGTTATTATATATACACGCAGCACTATATAGGTTGTCGAATCATTGACAATTTTTTTTTCTTTTTTTTTTTAAGGGCGCTCTCTGTATACATCACAAGAATCATTTCTAATTCAGAATCAATCAAGTTTCACCTTTAGAAAGCTGCATTACTTTCATTGAAAACTTGTGCATTAAATGATGAATTGCGAAGAAAGAATCTGCTTGATAATGGGGAAATTTGTTGTTGATTAAAAAATTGATTTGTATTTGGTATCGAATTGGAAAGAGTTAATACTAAAAATGTGGATCAAGTCCTTGTTCGATTCAAAGTTTTGGTATCAATTTGATTCAATTTGGTATCAATTCGACTTAATTTGGTATCAATTCGACTTAATTTAGTATCAATTTGACTCAATTTGGTATCGATTCTATTCGGTATCAATTTGATACCTCCAAAAGAACTGTGCGGAACTATAATTTTGACTTGAAGCAAATAAAATTTATTAGTAAAATATAAATTTCTATTTAATTGTAAGATAAATATATTTCTCTGGATGTAATATACTAGTATTGATATTAATATATATGCTAGGCTCTGAAGAAAGGTACCTTAGAAGCAAAAGATTTTAGGTTATGGTTGTAATTTTTTAATTTTTAGAATAAAAATACACAAAGGGGATCAACTCTCAATATGTTTAAGTCTTCATTGCATCTAAAATAATGAATAAAAACTGATTTTAGTTTTAAATTAGACACTGTAATTAAGGTAAACTTGTAATTCAGGTAAAAATAATACAAACATAACCTTAAAATAATTAGCTTCTTAAATTATCTTAAGTTACGTTAATGTACCTTTCTTCAGAGCACGACAAATATTGTTATGTTAATATATGAATATATTATAATCTATTAATATTATTCGTTCGTTAATTAATTTTAAAGTTTAAAGTGTTTGCAAAATTTATATGCAGTATTTCTGATAATGAAGGTTAATAGTAATGAACTAATGAAGGTTAATAATAATAATGAATTAATAGTAATGAACTATTAAAAACATGTTTCGAAAGATAATATTTTTGTTGAATGCAGGAATAGGGAAACTATTTGATATAACAAATGAATGCATTTGGAACTGTCAATTCAACTTCCCACGACATTAGTCATTCTATATTTAGTAAAATGTTGAGAGTGTATGAAACAATTTCTTCGTGAGAGTATATATAATATGGAATGTGTGTGTGAGTTTTGATCGTGCTACCCGGCTTATACATATAAATACGTGACTCCTTATCCACTTGGCGTATCTTGTATATGAGAGAGAAAGGTGGAAGCAATGGGTGGTTGGTGGGGTGATGGCAGTGGTAAATAAAGAAAAAGTCAATGGGGACCGGTTGGTCGACAGGTGAGGTCTTTCCTTGGCTCGGACATGCACAGGTGTGCAATCTGTAAATCCCCTTTAGCAAAAAAACCACACGTTCGCTCTCTCGATCGTTGGTACAATCTCGCACAATCTAAGTTCGCGGATATATACGAACGCATAGGTATTCACGTAGAGGCACATCCAAATATGTAAGTGTATCCACAACTTTCCCGAAGGGAACATTAGGTTTGTTTTCGTTTCTGATGCGATGCTAGCTTTCTTGTATTTATCACCCCGTTTTCTCTTTCCTATTATCTTCCCTATATCTCTGTATTTCTCCACGAATTTCTATATAGTAATTTTTATAATTTTTATATCAAGTATTTACATTTTTTCCTCAATGTTCTATTCTATTTTTAGTTGAGATATTTTTTAAGTAAAGAAATTAATGTTGATATAGAGTTAGATGGTTAGATATAGTTTGATGTTTGTCCCATTTTCTGAATGTTATTTTAGTATCCTGTCTCCTGTGGGTATTATTACCCCTGTAGGACATAAGGATAAGGAGTAAATAAAGATAAGACGAGATAGATCGCGACTCTCGCCAGGTGGTCCTTCTCGTGTTGGATGACTCAATCGTGAGAAGGAGTTGCTGAACAAGCTCACGAAACCTTTGCGGACTTAAAGAATATAAGAATAAGAAGAAGATGATGATGATGATGATGAAGATGAAGAAAACGAAAAGATGAAAGCAGGAGGGGGGAAGAAAAAGTAGTAGAAGTATCGCTCGTGCAGTGTGTGTGAACATAAGAGGATCATCTGTGGAAGGAGAGTAGAAGAGAAGGGGGCCTCTAATTAGGCGGTCTGCCGCCGTCGGTATACCGTGTATCCATAATATGAAGCATGTGATACTGCTGTCGTGTGTTTATACACGCGCGCACAAAGCTATATGTGAGAGCACCCAAAAAAAAGAAGAAGAAGAAGAAGAAGATGATGAAAAAAAACGAAAGCCGTAAATCAACCACCAACGAGGTTGCGGCTCGATCTCTTTGACGTGCTCTCGGACCTACCTATATCCCTTTCGCCGCTATTCTTTGTTTATGCATCGCGACAGGGAGAATGAATCACTTGGATTGTTAGAGGAGTCCTTTTCATTTCACGTATTTATCATTTTTTAATCACATTCACACTAATTTTTTAGATATCGACTATTTTGTTTTTCGTTTTCCTTGGGGATTTTGAACAAGAGAATTATTAGTCAATCGAAGTGGTAACTAGAGCACTGAGTTGAGTAATAACTAGAGTACCAATTAGACTACTAACCAGGGATTAACTAAAGTATTAACTAGGTACTAACTAGAGTATTAACTAGATATTAACTAGAGTATTAATAAGAGCACTAAATGGAATACTAACTGAGGAGTTAACTGGAGTATTAACCAGAGTATCAACTATCTATTAGCTAGGTTTTAACTAAGTATTAACCAGAGTATTAACTAAATATTAACTAGAGCACTAAATAGAATGCTAACTAGAGAATTACCTGAAGCATTAACCATACTCCTAACTAGACTATTAATTCCACTAAAAAAGATCTGCCTAAAAATAATATTTGATATTTTAACAGAGAATCGAAATTTCTTCTTTTTATTCAACATCTTTTTTCTGCGTTTCATTAAAAGTGTATTGTAAATTGTTTATGGAAGTGGATCAGGTGTGTTGCAAAGTCGCATTTTGGATGTAGTTCGCCTGTATCCAAGATCAACAAGACGATAATTTTCACGATTGCCATACAGATATGACCCGACTTCATCGAAATACTAGCATTCTCCTCTCTCGTGTCGTGACAACAACGACGACGACATTCGATTTCAGGGACGCAGCAAAACTTGTTCAATCCCTTTGTATAAAATTCTTGATATTTTACTTGGACTAGTAGTTTGTTTCACTCTCTACAGCCACAGATAAGGGTTTTCAAGTTTTTTTCCACAGTCCTTCGGATATTTTAATCTCCCTCTCTATCCCCTCTCTTGTTCCACAAGGTGTATAAGGTGAATTGTGAAGAAAAGAAAATTTTTTACTTTTATATCTCACTCTGAATCTGAATTAATGAAAATTGAATGACTTTTAGTAATTAAAAATTATAGTAAATTTAATGTAATTTTCTAATGTAAGAAAAATGACTGAAACTTATTTCAGTAAAATATTTCTATTTTGTTTAATAGTAAACCTTTTGTTGTGAGGCCCTTTTTTTGAATCTAAAAACTTTAAAATAATTATCAGC